CATCAGCAGAGACATTGATGGCCTCCAGCTCCTCTAGAAGCAGCTTCACATCTTTCTCTCTGTCCTGGATTCTCTGCTGGATGTTCAGTCGACTCTCCTCCAGCTTCTTCTGCTTCTCCGTCCTTTCTGCTGCAACTGGGATTGCTTCATGGCCTTTGTGTTGATCCATTGTGCAGAGATAACAGATCAGCTGCTGATCAGTGCGACAGAAAACCTCCATCATCTTATCATGACAAGGGCAGAGGTTCTTGGAGGGCTCCACCAGCTGGTGTCTCTTCAGCTGAGCGACATCATGGTGAGGTTGGAGGTGGTTCTGACAGTAGGACACCAGACAGACCAGACAGGACTTGACAGCCTTCCTCTTCCTTCCAGTGCAGACATCACAGGACACATCTTCAGCTCCAGCATAGCAGTGATCAGCAGCAGCAGCAGCTTGGAGTCCAGTCTTCTTCAGATCCTCCACTAACTCTGCTACCAGGATGTTTTTCTGCAGGACAGGCCTCGGTGTGAAGGTCTTCCTGCACTGAGGGCAGCTGTAGGTTCTCTTACCGTCCTCTGTGTCCCAGTGGCCTTTAATACACTTCATGCAGTAGCTGTGTCCACAGGAAGTAGTTACCGGATCCGTCAGTAGATCCAGACAGATGGAACAAGAGAACTTCTCAGAGTACGTCTGCGCCATTTCAGCTCTCAGCAACAAAGACTGTGTGAGTCTCATGTCCTCATGCAGGAAACCAGTCTGAGCTCCGATCTACAAACCATGTGTTCCTGCTGCACCACATGTTGGTTCCACCCATCTGCAGGGTGCAGATCTGAGGGGAAGGGAACCAGGACACGTGTGGACAGAGTGGAGCAGCTGTGTTTGAGGGGGAGGAGGCTGATCAGACTGACATTCCTTCCAGGAAGAGCAGAGACGCTGAGCGTGAACCTTTTCTCAGCAGAGGTCGTTTCTCATTTAACCCTTTAAATGCTGGTTTGTTTGAAAACCCGAATAAAATGACTTATTTCTAATATAATCGGTGGTAAATTATTGATTCTGTCTTCAGATCATCACAATCGGGGATCCGTCAGAGATCACTGCCGTTGATCCAGAGGTGTTATTAAGAAACGCACCAACATAGAAATGAAATGTTTAGACCACTTTTCTACTTTCACCAACATCAGTCCTGATCATAACAGACAAATATTAACTCATCGTCAGGATTTATTCTTATTTTGTGCAACATCAGACTTAATGAAAAATACTCACATGAGACCTTTAAAGACAAAAATAGTAGTAAAAATGACGATATAATAATAAAAACAGAGAAGCGACGTAAAGGAGAAATCAGATCAAACTATTTAGTTGTCAAGTGGAGTCAAGGACTGAGCTCCAGGAGCAGCCATTAACAGAGAGAAGCAAATCAAATAAGAATCGAAGTCGATGAGTCATGCTACTGAGCTAAGCGTGCTACAGTTTGAGAAAGTGTGTTTGGGAGGAATATATGTGTGTCTTTGAGTTCAGAAGAGCATAGAAATGACAAACGGAGACACTTTGAATGGAGTTCTTCGTAGACATCGCTGAAGTTGGAGCTCATCTGATTTCGTCCATGGTAGTGGATTCTACTCGACTGAAAGAAGAGTCCTGATTGGTCTGCATTTGTACTTGAGATGGAAAAGTAGAAGATTCTCTTTGCTCTGTACAGTTAGCCTGACAGCGTGACTGGTTCAACAGTTAGTTGCGCTA